GCACCGAACAGGCAGCAGCCCCCCCCCTGCCCTGCCTGCCTGTGTGCTCTCTGGGGGGAGCTGGGGGAGCTAGGGAGAGCTGGGGGAGCGGGGGGAGCAAAGCTCCAGCAGTGGTGCACAGAGCAGGAAAACAAATCTTTTAAGCAGCATTGTAACTACATTAAAATAAACCTCCAGGCTTGCTCTGACAGGGCAAAAATGGTGATTTCTTATGCAAGTGTTGACCCGTGTTTCATTGCAGATGCAAACCCACAGCAGCCCAGAAAGAAGGAGCCTGATGCTCAGCTTAGAGGGGGCAAGCCTGAAGTCTTCACCCCAGTGACTGTGGGAGCCGACAAGGATGCAGATTTGCTGGGACGGGCACCTGACTGCCTCGCTATGTGGCCACCAGCACTGCAGGGACGGGACACAGCTAGGGGAGGGCATCACACCTCCAGAGCATAAGAGATATTGGACGGAGGTTATCAGTGACACCTGTAAGACAGCCTGCTCCCATCTCCCCTCTCAGATGGGAAAGTCCTTCCTCATTTAACCTCCTTGACCTGCAACTCCTGGGGAGGAGGTGTTGCTGTGCCTTCTGCTAGTGCTAGGGTAATCAGAGCAGTCATTTTGGTGATGAACATCTTCAAAACTCCCCCAGCATCTTGCATTTAGGAGAAAACTCTGCTTTTCACTCCTAAAGAGCTTAAAGCAACCTGGAAAAGGCAGCAGGTCCAGGTGCAAACTTCAACAAAAGCTCTGTCAGAGGGGAATATGCTGGCAAAGGGTGTGAAAGTCAAGCCACTGCCAGGAGAGAAAAATATTTCTGGTTCTTTTAAAAAAAAAAGTCCTCTGAATTCTAGAAATGCCCAGGTTCATCCTAGGTCCTAGGATCACTGAAGACCTGCTCTGCACCCCAGCACTCATGTAGATAACATGGAAAGGGGCCAGGCTACCTGTGTGCTTTGCTGGCAGGGTGAGCGGCAGCACCCCTCTTATTATGCCTCAGCTTCCCCAGTCACAGGGATGAGCCCGTAGAAAGTGCTGTGACACCCAGGATACACTCCTGCTACTTGGTCAAGGGGTACAGGGGGTGTCCTGAAGCATGTGCAGCAGCAGGCACAGCGCAGCTCCTTGCATACCCCTTCACTGGGGCCGGCAGGAGCCAGCCAGCTCCCCGCTCCTGCACCAACATGGACATGCATTGCGGCACTGCAGAGGGTGTGGAAGTCGTTGTCGAAATTAATCGAGCACAAATTAACACAACATCTGTTTCCTGTCTTTTCTCTGCTGAGTTCCCCGGGGCGGGTGGGGGAAGTGAGGCAGAGCTGCGCATGGGAGGAGACACGTGGGGCAAGGGCAGAGCTGGGGGTGGTGAGCAGGGATGCTCTCTGCAATGCACAGCCAGCTCCCCTCTGCAATGTGTGTGGGCTCAGGGCTCTCCAGGAGTGTCCACAAGGGAAATAGGAGCTTATTGTGTGCACCAAAATGCCTTGGCCTCCAACTAGTGTGGTTGCTTTGGGTCTCCAGACATTCACTCCTCTCCCAAATCTGGCAGAGGAGATGGTGCTCATGACCGTGGTGTCCGCACACCCCTGTGGCATTGGCAGAGCTGGCAGCACCGTCATGGCCGGCAGAGAGCAGGGAGCTAATTGCCCATCTCCAAGCACCAGCAATGGTCAGCATCAAGCACAGGGGAGAACTTGGAGGGTTTGCATTTGCAGCATCACTCTTTCAAACTTGGTGCTTTTTTGCACAGCAGTTGGACTGTCAGCTCTTTCCCAGGGTCCTACACAGTGCCTTGGGATCCCAGTCTGGGACTAGCCCAAAACACCACAACTGTACCACGGTCCTACAGGGCAAGTGCCCTGCCATTGGTGAAAATGCATGGAGGGAAGCGTAGGCCACCAGAAATGGTGGCTCAGATGGCACAGGTGCATCTTCCCCGTGTGCAACACAGGTCCCACGATCTCTGCCAGGTCCCAGGATCTGCTGGACATTAGGGATGGAGGGACTCACTTCAGGAATCCCCATGACTTGAAGGGTTTTTCTGTTTCACCTTAATTACAGGCTGTTATGGCCAGGGAGAGGAGTTTCTGATGCTGGGTACCATCGGTTCAAGAGCACAGGCACTGTGCATACACCCGGCCTCCTGGCATTGCCTGCTCTAGGCTGATGGTTTGAAGTGGCTTTTATTAAACAAAGCTCAGCCCGGCCCCCATCATTGTGATAAGATCCCCTAGCGAGACGGAAATGAGGACATCATAATTAACGCGGTGAGCGCACGCGTTGCAGGGGGGGGGAAACGGGACATGATTGCATCTGTATTCAGGGGCTTGCCTAATAGTTTAAATTAAAGTCAACATCAGTTATAAAAAAATTTGCCAGATTATGAAAGGCAAAAGATGCAAACACCAGATATCTGGGTGGCTGAGCATGGTCTTAGAATTCTCCCAGGGCCTGTGTGGTGCAGCAGCGTGGGGAGAAGGAGGAGGAGGAGGAGAACAGGCAAGGAGACACCACGTCCCCCTCAGCCTCCCACCACCCTTGCAGTGCCCATGGAGGGAGCCAAGGGTTGAGGTCTCCCCAGCCCTGGGACAGCTTCCAGGAGGGATGCCAGGTCTGTCTGACATAGCAAAGCTTTTGCTGCTGCTGAGACATCCAGCACTTCCCTTCCTCCTGAGAGCAAGCACCGAGCTACGGCACTTCCCCAGGAGCTGCTGGGTCCCTCATACCACCGTCATCAAGAGAGGAAAAAAAAGAGAAGGATGTTATTGCAGCTATAAATCATTAGATGGGAGGCGTTAATGGAGATAATCCCCATGAAATCAGTCACTGCTGCGGCTAAGGAGGGATTTGTCAGGCAGTTAACTACCCTGAGCTTCACTGCAGGTGATTAACTCCTGGTAGTGACCAGCATCTGGGGAATTAGCAATAACCCAGTATTTACTGAACAAGCACTGGGAGCTGAGCTTTTATCTCAATTACTAGTCTAAATCTTTATTTTCCATTGTTCCATTCCTACCCATATTTTTTTTTTCAAAGAAAACAGTTTCGCCGCAGCTTGCCCTGTAATGTGCTGGTTTTCCTGGATCCAGGCAGAGGCTCTGGATTGGAAGAGAAACCGAAGAGATGGCACAAGGACATCAAAATGACAGAGGGCAGAAGACATGGCCTTGGCAGGTAGGAGAGCCCCAATATCATTTGGTGCTCTGAGGAGAAAGACAAAACCCTGAAGGGCATCAAAGTTGCAAGCACACAGCACAGCTTGGGCTGGGGACAGGGTTTTTGCAGGGGCACAAGGAGACCTTGCTCTATAACAGAGCTGGCATGTCAGATGGGGTTCATCCAAGCCATGAACTGGTTGTTGGCTGCAGGACCAGAGCTAGACAAAAAGAAGTCCCCTGCTGTGTAGGCTTTGCTCTGCAAACAGTTCAGTCCCGGGGTGTTTACAGCAGCACTGTACACCAGCATGAAATCCCCATCCCTGATGTGCAAACACTGCTGAGAGATGGTCCTATGGCAGAAATGTGTCGTCTGTGCTCTCAGATGGTTGTTTAAGCAAATCTGGTGTCTTTCTGCCACTTTTCTCTCTGAGCTACTGCAGAATGAGGGAAGAGCACTCTTGGCTAATTGTGCCCAGGTGCCTCAGGATACGTCCGTCCGTTTACCAAGAGTGGAGGGGCAGAGATGGGGAGGTGCAAACCACCCCTGAAGGTCTTTCCTGGTGCTCGCACCAGCAAAGCCAGCATGGAGCATGCCGGGTGTTGGGGCAGCTGCCTGCATGGCAGACGCCCACCAGCTCTCTTGGCTAACCCCAGTCCATGCAGCGAGGGGGATGCTGTGGGGCCAGACCATGGAGGTGCTGGTGGGGGGCAGGCAGGGAGGTCGTGGGCAGCACGGGAGGCCTTTCTCCAACCCTTGAAGTGTTCCCATTATAATTAGCTTTTTCAAGGCATCATTCAAGCTCCTTAGATACCCTGTGTCTGAACAAAATCATTTCCTGTTTGACTTTGTAAATCAAAGTAGACGATGCAATAATTATTAATAATATGTTGACTTATCTCATCAGCGTTTTAATTAGTCAGTAGAAAAGCAATTTGCAAAGGGGCCGATCGGGCTCCCTCTGATTCTGCAGGTCACGTGCCAAGCAAGGAGAGGGGAGAGAAGGGCACTGGGGCAGTGGGGCAAGGAAAGCTGGGAAACCGCAGGCACAGAAGGGGAAGGGCCAGCCTCTTTGACGGCACTGATAAGAGTTTAATTTTCAATGCAAAGGGAATTGTTGTGGGGATAGAGCGAGCCGCAAAGCTCCTGGGAGCCCTTTGAAGTTATAATTGAGAGGAGCTGCAGCCTGTGGGACAGGGATGCTCCCAGTGACCCTTCCGCTTCCTGCACGTGTCTCCGGGATGGAGGTGAGGGGGAATGCAATTAAACCCCTGAGCGGCAATTACAGCCAATTACCCCTCAGTTAATTGTCTGGCGAGAGGAAATGTCAAAACAGGCCACACATGCCTCCCTGATGGCTTGACACTCCCCAGGGCTGATGGTGCTGCTGACCCCCGCTGTGCCCATTGCTCCCAGCCCCTTGCTTCTCTGCTCTTGCTGGCCATAGCAAACCCAGAGAGGAAAAAAAAAACTTCCTGTGAGGCAAGTTCACTTTGCCCACAGGTGTGATGAAAACATCAAGACTTTGCAAGTGGTACCCTTCCAGTTTTGCACTGCTGATGCTTTGGACCATTGCCCTGGTTGTGCAGGCAGCTCTGGGATCTCCCAGTCCAGAAGAGGAAACCTCTGAGACTGCCACCTTTCCTTTAGCATCCCCAGGAGCCCCAGAGAGGTGGGACAGGACTTGCAAGTGCTGGAAAAGCAAGCCATAAGGCACTAGGGACTGAGCTAGCGGACAGAAGTCCCCTTCTTAAGCTCCTCAGGCTGAGGACCTCTGTGCTGTTTAGTGCCATGCAAAGACCCAGCCAGATCTACCCACCTCCCCACTGTCACCCATGCAGTGGCACTGGGCTCACACAGGGCAGGGGAGTGGACATGTGGGTAAAGCAAAAACAAGCATGACTTCAGCTGGGGAGCCAGGGTCAGCAACACTGTCCCTTGGCAGGAGGATGCTGTGATGGATGTGTCTGTACGTGGACAGAGCAGAGATACTGCAGGGAAATCCTGCACTCCCTGGCACCCAGCACACACTCCAGCCATGGCTCCGGCAGGACAGCCAGCAGGCAGCAAGGGAGGATAGTGTGTGTGGAGGGGGCACTGCCACGTTATTTTTACAGCAGGAGTATCTGAATTAAGGAAATGGCAGCAAAAATAGGGGACCTCAAATAAAATCTGGCTTCACAGTGCACCACCTTCTTACTATGCCAGCAACTGGGCTCTACCCAGCCCAGGGCAGCCAGAGTCACAGCACACCACGGTGGGCAGGGACCGTCCCAGGGACACCAGCAGTACTCCTGAGCTCGTGACCAGCAAACTCAGTCCCTTTCCCAGAGTAGAGATCACACCAGGCTTGGAGCCATGTGGACCCAAGCTACCAAGCCTGTAAGTCACCCAGCATCTTTCCCGCCTGAATCTGAACTCTGCTGTGGGGCTGCTCAGGAGGCGTCTGCTCAGTGCCAAATCGTTGGCGCTGAGAGTGAGTATCCTACAGCAGCTTCACTGAGACACCAGCTTCCTTTCCAGTGATGGCAACTGGATCCAAGTGCAAATTTAGTACTTAAAAAGCACCTGGAGCTTGAAGGACCAGTAGGAGGGTAAAGGAATGAGATGCTCTTTCAGGATGGTGCAATGCAATGGCCCATGGAGGAAGAACCACATTCCAGACAAGTGTTCAGTGGAGCTATTAAAACATCCAGCTGGAAAAATATATGCAAAGTTGTTTGTGCAAGAATGTCACATTGAAACCTAGGCACCCTCGCTGAAGGTGTTCAAGACACTTTTCACCCAGCTGTATGGTTGTCCTCTCCGTAACAAGGCCACGATTTGGGCAAAAGCACAGGTTAAGTGAAGAGTGGTGTCACCCCATGACTTACCTAGGACTTGTAGGAGGACACAGCAGCATGTCCAAGAGGTGGCTTTGGCGTTAGGTGTTATACAAGTCTTTTCTTGTTTTTCTTTTTCTTTTTTGGTATCCAGTATTAACTCTTCTTAATAAACATCACTAATAAGGTGGAGACTTCAGACATGTATTAGGGTTCAGGAGTTGCTGGGCTGCTGGTGACGGACTGCTGGGCATCTGCTGTAGTGCAAGACAGCAGCATAGCAGTGACTGCCCTGCGAGCCAGCCCCGGCACCCTATGGTCATGTAACGCATTACACCTGACAGCCCTAGTGGGTCGGGACCCAGGATTCATTCCCTGGATTTGCAGATGTACAATACAGGATGCTGCACCTTAACCAGTCATGGAAGTCTCTGATGTGGTGAGAAAGAGCCACCTGTAGGCTCAATCCCTTGTCTGCTTTGTGAATGCAAGGTCCTGCCCAGTTAGGCCCATGTGTCCCCAGGACAGCCAGCTCAGGTGGATTCATCTTCATCCAAGTCACATAGGTGATGTGATGGATCCCATCTACATGTCTGACAGCTAGCAATGGGCCTGGGGATGCGGTCACACAGGTGTCTGGAGAGCTGGACTCATGGTGGAGGATCCAGAAGAAGGAGGGCCTTGGGCAGTCTGTGAGCAATGGAGGGTCTGACTATGGGGAAGAATTGCTTAGGATGTGGTGAGGGGCAGAGCAGCGGAAGTGGACAAAGTGAAACAGCCCTCATTTCCAGAAACATCCTCCCTCCCAGGGGAGCAGAGGAAGCCCTGGTCCCTGATCCCTGAACATGCATCGGGACACTCCAGGATGTCAGGATTTGGCAGCAGGCTGGGATGAGATGGCAGCAGCAGGGTGACACGACAGGGATCCACATGAACGAAGGGCAGCCTGTGCATGGCTGTGAAGAGGACAACACCTCCCTCATCCAGGCAATGGCAGAAGAGGGTCCTGTGGCTGCAAACTGAAGCCAGTCAAAACCACATAGCGATGGGTTTTTAACAGCCACCTGCTAACAGCATCGCTACAGGACCTGGAAGATTTAACACCACTGGCAATTTTGCAGTCAAGGATGTTTTTTTCTAAAAGTGGGCTTTTCTGAGATGCAAGTTAATTGGCAGGTCTGAAGGCCTGTCCTTATGCAGGAGATCACATCACGTTAGATCTGCGGTCCCCTCTGACCTTTTACCTCTGAATCTATTACATTTCCAGGATAGACATCATTGCAACAGCTAAGTGCTAAAATTAGAACTGAGTTAATGATTTAATATATTTACATACATGATAATGTCTGATATAAATCTGATCATTGTTATTATTATGAATTCACAATTCTGATCACTCTTGCTCAAACAACGTCGGGACTGAAAGTCTCAAGCAACAGATCAATGAAAATGATTAGAGGCCTGGGAAGATTTCTGTAGGAGGCGGAATTGAAAAGATTAGGACCGTTTAGTTCAGAGAAGGGATGAAAAGGAGTGGACATGAAAAATCTACACAGCAGCAGAAGCCAGGTAGGCACCCCAGTTTTGCATGTTTTGTGCATGCAGCAAGCCCCACTGTGCTTTGCAGTTGGTCCTGTGTGTATTTATGGGATTGTTTCTGTTCACTAAATGAGTGAGCAAAATCCTTACAGCCAGGTCACTGCTGCCATCTGAAACTCACAATTTCCAGAAAGCTGCTGTGGCAGGAAAACCTGGACATGGAAATGCAGGTGAAGGGAGTGCGCGGAGAGGATTCAGCCAGTAGAGATGGCAGGCTCACATGGGGGTCACCACCCCTATATCCCACCTGGCCACGCCTCAGGGCTGTGCATTTACATCCCCATTCCCTGTAAGAAACCATCCACAGGGGATGCTTCCCTGCTCCACTTGCCCAGTTCCCACAGCAAGCTCTTCTGATTACAGGCAGCTGAGAGCTTCCCAGTCATTTTGGGCTGTTTCTCCTGGTGCAGCAAGGAATGAGATGCTTCTCAGAATAACTACCTATGGGGCAACCCAGCTCTTGAGTTCCCTTAAAGCTCAGGACCTGGTGACAACCCAGTCCCTACCAGGGGACATGGAGAGTTAAACAGCATTTCCAAACTGTCTGCATCCCACTGATAGTCTTTCAGGCTGGCACTTTCCCAACAGACGTGGTCCTTTTACCCCATCAGCACTGACCAAGGCACCAGTCTGGGGCTGAGATGTCCATCCACCCTGCCCACGGGGACCTATGGTGACCCATCCCACTGGGGTCCCCCATGCGCCAACAAGCCACTTCATACTTACCCCATGTGAAGGATAAGTCATCCAGCCCCAGTCCCCCGGGATTGTTGATGTGTCTAGCAAGTTCACTGGAAAACAAAGGAGCAAAGTGCTGCGTTAGAGAGCTTTCTCCCCATCCCTGAGGGGCGAGAAACCGAGCCATCACAACCAACCTCTTGATTGTCCCCTGCCAACACCGATGCAACTGGAGCATCATCCCTCGCTTGGACACTTCTCTTCCAGAGGCTTTGCTGAGCCCTTTAGGCTCATATCCCTCCCAGCACCACCATTTTGAAATCTGCAATCCAGCAGCTGCTGTAATTATACACCACAGTGCCCTGCTCCAGCACAAAGTGACCCCCCATGGTCCTGGCTGACACCCCACTGGAGAGGCCAGACCATGGGGGACAGGCTGCATGAGAAGGCCCATCAAAGCTAGCCCTTCAAAAGCCCTGCCACCACCAGGAGCCTGGCTTAATGAGGAGACAGGCAAATCTGCAAGGAGAGGGGAAGAGCTTCTGCAGGGGCAGAGGCGAGGATGCCTTTGAACGTGCTCAGGAGCTTCCCGTGGAAACCTGTGCAGTGTCAGCAGGTGGGGGAAAGTGGGGTGCCATGGCATTGCTGCATGCACAGGGTGAGCTGCCCCTCAACACTGGCTTGTTGCAGCAGGGAGAGGGCATGTTGGGACAGCAGCTCCAGCCCCAGCAGAGGCTGGGCTCAGTGTGATGCTGGTCCCAGCAGCCAGAGGAATGGGTGCCACTTTCATTTACTATTACCAGGCAGGGAAGGAGGCGGGGGAGAGAGGAGCAGAGACGTGAGCTGGCTGTGAAACGCCCGGACGTCATGCTCCTGACAGAGCAGATTAGGAGCTTTTGAGGCATTTATTAATGTTAGCAGAACAATTTGAAAGAATTTCCAGGGTTTCTTGTGTGACTCCATTGGCCCAACAGCAGGCCGAGCCCCTTCACTCTCCGCACGGCGCTGCTCCCACTGCTAAAGAGGCCCCTTGCCCTCAGCACGGAGTAATTACCTCGGAGATCTCAAATCCATTTTTATTTGTTATTGTTAATCTGAAGATTTTCTGCCTATTTTCCCTGGGTAATTCGCCCAGCAGGAGCCTGGGCTCAGGAGTTTCCCTGCTCACAGTGCAGGAGCATGGTCCCGGTGACCCTCAGCAGGCAGGCTGCAGGGAGGGTACTGCTTTCGCAGACCCTGTCTCCCCCCCGCTGTGGTCTCTGCACCCTCTTTCCCACACTGAGATGCTCAGCAATGGACGTGGCTGCCTCTTGCTGCTCTCCAGGCAGCACAAGGAGCCTGCACGGACTGGGGTCCGGCTGGAGCATCGTGCCATGGGGAACGATGCTGAGATCAGATGCTGAGCAGGCATGGTGGGACATACCCCAGGTTTGTCTGCACAGTGGTGTGTGGGACCTGGAGCCAGCTTGCTACACCCCATTCCACCATGTGGATATGGTTGTCACCCAACCTCATATAGATGAAGGAGCTGTCTCCTTGCGGGTGCTTTGGTGCACATATAACTACACAAGCTTGCATTCCCTGCAACATGCCCATGGAGCAGACTGCTCGTGCCTCTTTGCAGGAAGAGGGCTAAGTTATTTCTTTTACTCCTTAGCAAGCATTTCAGCCAAGTGCATAGGAGTCCTACGCATTAAGCCCACTGCCGAGGGCATTGCACAAATATAAAGGCATTGCGTGTCCAAGAGCTCTTGTGTTAACGCATGGTATAGCACACATGTCTGTGGATATGAGCATCCATCTAGCAGCACTATTACATACTGTGCTGGGATATGGGGAGACCAATACTCTCCTGAAACCCAACCGTCCATTTCAGGGAAAGGCTACAGACCAACACCGAAGGGAACCTGCCGCATCACATGCGACAAGTGCTGCTTCCAGCCCCTTGCAGGTGATCTCCCAGCTGCGTTGCTTCTCTGGGGGTGATGCTCAGAAAAAACCTGCCCTTGATCCCAGAGGGTGAGTGAGACCACCACAAAGGACTCCTTTCAGCTGAAATGTTCTCAGAAAATGTGCCGGTTTGGGAGACCTCTCTCCTACAGCTGGGCAATTCTGTTTGATGTTATGGACTGTCTGCACATATCAGTCTCAAACTGCGAGCCCCATTTTGTTTTCCTGAGCACCATTTTGTATTTTCCCTATTCTGTGCCTTGGCCTTAACTTGGTGTATTGAGCCAAAACACCAGGAGGTGTCAGGGGAAATTCTCACACTGGTGGAAAAGCTGTCAAGCCTGATTGCCCGTTCAAATGGAAGCACCTAGGAGCAAGCAGGTCGCTTCCCCAGTGCCAACTGGGGTCTTGAGCCAGAGTCTCATGCAAGGCAGACCTATGTGCTCCTTTATAAAGTTGCATCATGTAATCTTGCCTGAATAGTGCATGTTGCAATCTTATACATGCAGATTATGCAGGAGTCAATGACTAGGTGTACATATATGCATACGTATATGTATAGTTTATACCTTCATCTTTATTTTTATATCTATATATCTGCATCTGTATCTGTACCTGTATCTGTATCCGTACCCATATCTACCAAATTCTAAACACTGCTTGAGATGATTGAGGAAGCTGAAGCAGGGACTAGCATCTAGGGGATGTACATTTTGCCTGGGCCCATATATCTCTTGTGCTGCATAAAGAACAAGCGCTCAGAAACCCTTCTCAATACTTGTGCTGGTGACCACGACTCCTTCAGAGATGTATTACATCCCTACAGAGGCGCGGGTGTCTTGACATCCCACATATAAGCATCCCGGGCTCAGGAACAGTGCGATAGGAGCCACGGCTGCCCAGCCCAGGGAGCCTGCGGACCCTCAGCCCACCCGGGGGTGCATGGTGGGGTGGTGGGACAAGCCTGGGGCTGACACACTGGGGGATGTGCTGAGCCCCAGCCTCTGGAAGAGCAATGGGGGACTGAAGAGGGCCCTGAGCTCCCTCGCTAATTGTTAACCCACTGCAGTCCTCACTCTAATTACTCCACCGTCTCCCTCCCAGGCACGGCCTTTGTAGCACAGGCATGGGGAGGAAGGGTCAGTGGGAGCAGCCCTGTTCCCTTGGGCTTCAGTTCCTCTCCATCACAACTTCAAAGGCCTCCCAAGATTCACAGCAAAGCTCCCCCCCCATGCAACAACATCTTTTGCATTGATAATTAAACTCTTATCAGCCCAGTTAGGTGCTCTTGCACCCTGCTACCTAAAGACTGGTGGGCTCAGCCCCCACAGCCTCATGTGGGCCTGCACACCCCACGCCGGCTCCATAGCCCCAGCCCCACTCAGTGGGGGAACAACATGGGAAGCGTTATCCGCAGCGGGAAGAGAGAGTTGGGGTATGGGAAAGGGGCAGGGAGAGGCTCCCTGAGAGGAGGGAAACAAGAGCCAGTGGCATTCATTTCCCATAAGCTCAGGCAGGACTCTGAAGGGGCAGGTGGGGCCAGGGTGGGTCAGCTATTTGTGTCCCACCGTTTAATCCAGGGGCATGCTGAATAGCCAGCCGTGACCTTTCTGACTCGGGAGGCAAAGCTGAGCAACAAAGCTCTGTCTTACTGGCCTCAGAGCATCACGGGGGGGCAGGAAGGGATGCTTCACTTTCAGCTTCCCCCTCCCCGGGACAATATTTATCTTTAAAGAAAGAAAAATCGTCATTTATTCACCAACACACAATGCCAACCATTGGACTTTGAGGTAAAAGCAGCAAGGCTAGAGGGTAGGTCAGCTCTTCCCATTTGGGAGCTGTGTGCAGGGGATGTGCCCCACGGATCCGGGTCGGCACCGTGGCAGTAGGGTGCTGCACACCAGTGCTCCGCTGCACAAGTGACCAGATCCAGGCAGCCTTTGTCAAGCAGCTGCTTGTCCACAAGACTGCACGTACTAAGGACACAGCGGGAATGGTGCTCGCATCGGCACCCGCTGGCCTAAACTGCCCACAGAGGAAATTTAGGAAAGCATTGCGGGTAGATATAAAAGATGTCACCAAATCGGGCAGGAACATGGGATTTCCATGTTTCTGGAAATGCCAGAATCAGGCTGAAAAAAAATATTTAAAAGAATATTTTCAAACAATTGCTGTGAAAAAGCAGTGGTGCATTTTGGATGTGCCCTAATTCCCATTTCAGGATTTCTTCTTAGACCTCCAGACTGTTGCTGTGAACTTTCTGTATTTAATTTTATATCATTTTGTAATGCATCAGGAGTGGTAATGCCCATAAGGACTGCCCAGAGGGTCACCCCTTTTCAGTATACCAGGAGCAGAAGATACTTTGATGTAGGAAGAAAGCTTGTTTGTTCAATCAGTGCTAACAAAAAGCCACAGTTCACATTTTAAAAATAAAATGATCAACCTGATCCTTCCAGACCCTGCATGATATCTTGTAAGATAATATGCAGCGCAAGAGCATAACCTGTGGTAGGACAGAGGTTTCATGAAATAATGTAAAAAATGAAACAAAACAAAACAAAACACCCTGAATAAAGTATTTCCAAGGCTAAAAACCTTGAAATTACAGGACAGCATTTTTTTCCCTGAAAAAAAAAAAACCCACATCAAAAGCCAAACAACAAAAAAATGTTCCCTCTCAGAAATCTAGGTGAGAAAATATAGATGTAAAATGCTCATGTTTCCTACTCTGTTTGAGACTCCTGATGCTCATGTGCGGTGGGACAGCCAGGGCAAATTGGGCACACTGGCTTAGGTGACCCAAATTAAAGCATGCATACTATCCACTGCCAGGCAGGGGGTTATAGTACCGGTGTGCATCCCAGCATCGTGGCACACTCAGGTTTCAGTGCAAACAGTGCACGGCCAGCTGGACATAAATAACTGACTGGAAATGTTAAAAAACACAGGCTGTCCCAGGGCTCAAGGGTGGGGTGTATGGGGCCAGAACCGAGGCTCAGAGTGAGGGGTGAGCACACATTTCCACGTGCCTGGCCCAGGAGGTCGTGCCAGTGGGGAAGGAGCTATTTTGGGCTCAAGGGGCAGCTGGGCTTATTGTAATTCAGGGCAGAAGCCAG